TGTACGGCAGGAGAGGTGTACTAAATCGGCCTTTTCCCATCGAAAACAAACAACACCAGATGATATATCTCGTTGAATATTTTCAAATACCTTCGAAAATCCCCATATCACGGACGCCCACCACCTCGTTTTTGCCCCATGTTTAAAAGATCGGCCGTTCTGTAAAAAAAGCATGACATACTTAGGTATGCAATTTAGCTAAATACGCAATTACCCAATTATTATGGTAAATTAGCTGATTTCTCCATATAATATATCTGACGCACGTAGACCTATCGAGGGCTGTTAAGGCTAAGAAGGGTGAACCCTAACGGCTGCGATCTTCCAGGCCCGGTTCCCTAAGAGAAGAGAGAAGTCTTGGGAAGGCCAGAGTGTTAGGAAGAGTATATTCTGTACAGAATGAATAGGAGAATAGGCGGTAGGAAATTGACTACCAGACGACCGCACAATCGCAAGCCAGCGGACGGCGTCTGAAGTGAGGTCTGCTCGGCAGTCGTCAACTGAGGTCCTGTGTGAGTCGGTCTGTGATTGGCTGTTACAGAGACCGGAAACAGCGAGCCGTCCGAAGGTGCAGTTCGACTTGAGCTAGTCACGACAGGCGTCCCCAAGTGCACTTTAATGTTGAGTTAGTCACTACAAACCCATCACAAAACACTAACAGTCGTGGCCTGGAAGACCGCCAGCTGACGGGATAGCTCGGTCGTCCCCACGCACTATAGTCTGATGGCAACGATCTTCCTTCACCTTAGGTCTACAGTAGGTGGCGCAACTCAGGGAACATCAGCTGACATTTTAACATGGGACTTCGGCTAAAACTTACTTAGGCGAAGTTATGAAACTGATTAACATGCAGCGCGACCGCAAACTATTTCCATAATGTTGGCCTTCGAATGCGCGTCTTTCCCACCGTCTGCAAAAGCCACACTCGCCAACAGTACCACTTAAGTTTTATACATTTTTGATCATCTTATAAACAAAACATATTTTAGAGAAAGGCGTGCACGCAAATAACTCCTCTTGCATTCATTTTGTGGTGTAAGGCTTCATCTTAGAGCTTCTAATACAATACTGCACCTACCCCAACCTTGTTTTAAGGCCCTCGTTTATCAGAAGGTAGCGCCTTATTCTGAAATGCTGCAGAACATAGCCAATTACCAGGATTTTAGGAAAACTTCATTTTGAAAAAAATTATTCTGTGAGGAGGACTTGTATGGCCGTCTAGCTAGGACACAAGAATAGAAACGCCCGGCATTGCGATACATTTCAGGAAGGATAAATATTCGCACGTCTTAGCCCTAGCACGAAACTAAACTGTAACCTTAATATCAACCCTGACCCCGCCCTAAACCTAGACCGCACAGTTAACACGACCCCAAACCCTACGTTATCTTGTCTTTAACCTCACCTTTGATCTTAAACTTAAGCTTCACCATAATCCTAAACCTAAGTTCACTGGAATTATGCACAAACCCACATATATTTTGGGCGGTTCCTATTCCCGTGTCCCATTTAGGTGGTCATACGCGTCATCTCTAGGAAGCATTCTTTTGCAGGAGACTATTTTTACGCATCACGTCATTTTAGTGAGTAAAAAGAGTAACATTTCGTGTTCTAGTCACTAGGTACTGGGATTTTCGCTACAACATGTCAACTCCACAATGGAGTAAACGCGTTTCTTACCTCGTTGCCTTTTGTCAGCACCAGCGTAGTGTTATATTTAGCACCATTAGCCAATTTTAGTCTTGCTTTTAACGTCTGCGGGCCTATTCTATGCCAATGCAAAAGGTCTGAATGATTTTTATGGTAAAGCGATTGTTTCCTTTTCAGTCCATTTTCTTATTTCAAGAATTCTCTTCAAATCAGTCCCATAAATTCGTAGCGGAATTAATTATTTTTTTAAGACCTTCTTTGTGTTTAGAAACTAAATGTACGCAACAGGTGCCTTTGGGAGGGGGAGGAGCATTGAGTGACCATCATTGACCCCCTGAATATATCTGTGCCTGTTTGCTCCTCCTGCAAGTTGTTTACGACTAAGACGTCTCTGATATAATGAAAAAAGGGTGTTTAATAACTAGGTACATTTTTGAAACAGACTACAGGAAATACAGTGGAACCTCGCTTAACGAGTTTAATCTATTCCACCACCGAGCTCGTCTTGCGAAGCGTAGCCAATCAAACTGCACGAGTTCACTGATTGGCTGCAGGGGACCGAGGATTCACACCCTGGGAGCAAGACTCAACGACGGACACGAGCACCCACATGCACTACAAACTCGTTAACCGAGCAGAAGTTCGTCAATCGAAACGAGTGTTTCGAGTGCGAGTGTTTCGCCCGTTACCTGAAATGCTCGTAGATAGGGCCGCTCGTCACCCGAGGCTCCACTGTAGGAAGTTCAAGGAGTCGCGAATTTTCTTTCCAGAATGACATCGATCCGCCGGGTGTTCCACCTTCAAGTTTGTACTACGAATTCCTTTATACAGCCTCTGTTCTGACTCTCGTCAAAACCGTCCTTTTTCAGTCTGGGCGACCGCCCTACAGGGATTTTAATGGTAATATCCACAATGACAGGGGGCTGGCGCTTGTATTTGGAAATTCGGTGTGGTCTATTTTTTCTCTTATGACTAGAATCTTCTTAGCTAGGCAGAGTCTTATCTATTAGTCTTTCAACAAACTCATAAATCTCTTTCAAAATACACTGCGTCCTTTGTTGGCTCTCAAAGTCGGTGCCACAGCGCTCAGCTTCATACTGAGCTTTTGCGTGAATAGAGTAACCTTGGCCCACCAAAAAGCAGTAACTTCAAGATTATTCAATTTTAAATGCGGTAAGTGACGCAACACATTAAAAAATCATCTATCCGAAACCAATTAAAATGCCTCCACCAAAACATAAAACTAAGGATAAACGAGATCCGCTTAAATGAAAACGCGAAATAAATATTGGGCATACAATTTCGTTTGTTAGCATTAACGATTTTCTTGAGAAAAGACGAAATGCAGAAAGTCCGAAAATTCCTGTCAAGTGAGTAAACGCAGGCTTTTGAGGCGCATGAAGTCTGTCAGTGTACATAACTGAGGAAACAAAACAGCACAAGCGTATTAATGTCTAAAAAGTTCTCTTGACATACATTTTCGGTAGCTGTCCTCAAATAATTAGTGTTAGGTGCAGTCTGACACATAGTAAAAGGCATAATGTTTTATTTTGTGTTTAGAAATCTAGTTACGAGAATTCGATTTACTTTTTACGAGATTTAGTTTATTACAAAAAAGAGCATTTTGCTTGATTTTGCTGACATCGCAGGAATAAACCGTTTCCATAAAAACATACGAGTGACCCGTATCTACTACTGCTTTCTGCTTATGTTTCTGAAGATAAATGCGCTACGGATCTCGAGACGTTAGGCGAATAAAAGTGTTGTTCCAGCGATCGGGTCGTCTTCTTCTCAGTTTCCATAAGGTCACATTTTTGCAGGTTGGTGATTGACCAGGAAACTGGACTATGACCGGTACGGGCCACCATAAGCATACCATTTTTTGTGCATCAAGAGGGCTTTTATTCCGGAAATTTGCTGGAGGAGGGGGCGAGTGAAGTACGCTATGTAACAGAGTATCCTCGACATATCAGTAAGTACTTTAGAGTTTTAAAAACTCTTTTTTGTCTGCAGCAAATCCTATTTGACAAACCTCTCGAGTTTGGGTTAGTCTCCTGTCATTAAAAACAGATACGCCTTAGCAGAACTAATCTAGGGCAGTCATTAGCATATGTAGTTAAACAAAACAGTCTTTAATTCAACTTTGCAAGCAGTATGTCCGAGGAAGTTACCTAGACGCCTATTCCGCACGAAAAGGTCATTCTCCGGCAAGTGCTAGGCGAGTAGACGAAATACACAACGTATTAAGTACCTCAAATGATCACCTCAGTTTCTGTCATAATGTTTCGTAAGTTGGTTCACATACTTAGATGAAAGTTTTACTCTTCATTTCTTTGTGCCCTGTTGTGAGAAGAGGCCGAATGCCTTTATACTGACTTTGGAAACACCAATAAATATCATTCGACGTATAATCAAATTGTGAAAAACACTGTGGCCTCGGTGGGATTCGAGTCCACGATAATTAGAGGAATCCCACCGAGGCCGCCAAGTCTTCACAATGAAATTAAATGGATTATTCAAATCCGCCCAAACCCCCTACTTGACAGTTTGTTTGTTGTTTGGATGAACCCTCACCGATCACCTGAATCTATAATCTTATAACAAGTGATAGTTAATGTTATTAGTTTGGTTTTGTAAAATCTTTTTGAAGTATCTTTTATTGTCATTACATATATCTTTATGGAAACCAAGATTTTAAAGATGTTGACAGAACTTTAAATTGTCTAATTTTTTGTAAAATCAAATTTTCAAACCCAACTGTTAAAAAATATGGCACAACTAAAAAGTTGCAGGCAATAAAATAGGAACGAAAAGAGTCCACTCATTCGCCTCTTCAAGCCTTTACTAGTCTCCTGTCGGCACTTTCATCGCCTCGGTATTTTGGCCTGTCAATTGAAGTGCTGACAAAGTCTGTTCGAATGTAATATCGAAGGCGCACATTATCAGATCATTTCGCCTGCCGAAACGCCAGAGCTAAAGGTAACGCCCAAATCTCTTCTATCTGTCGGGTAGACAGGTGAACGCCGCTCCCACCTCAATTCGTTTCTATTTTAGCACATTTATGGATATCGCCAGATTTTTTTTCAATAAATTAGACCTTCTACTGCATGTTGAGGGTGAATCTGTCTTCTGATCTGGTCTTGTAGGCCAGATTAACTCCTATTATCTAGTCCTAACTGACCTGCCTGACACAATAGCCGTTTCTACCTAAAACAAGACAGAGAAGTGGCATTTTGCAGAGCATTGCCACTCAGCCAGTATTGTGCGCATCTCTGCACCTAGTCAGCAGGGCTGCCCCATTCCTTTGTGCAACCATCTTTCAATGAAGTCTGAACTTTTCCTTGCCAGAGATGAAGTCCGAAGCGTATGCTCTTGTGGCGGACCGTCTGTTTATCGTACAACTGGCTTCCTTTCTCGAGATTGTTCACGTCGCCATGGGTTGGGTCAAGAGCAGTCTTCTACCAACTACTTCACAGGTAGGTCGCTCTTTTGTTGTTGTTGTTTTTGTTGTTGTTGTTGTTGTTGTTGTTGTTGTTGTTGTTCTAACCTGTTGTAACTTGCAGATCGGATTGTCTCTGCATTTCACACGTCCTCCCGCTTAGTGTCTCTAAATGCGATTATGTATTTTCTTGCTCGATCTTCTTAGGCGCATTTATTCATGCCTTACCTCTCTGAGTTGTAAACACTGCTCTTATTGCTGTAGGTTCTGGGACGTAACCTCGTTTTCTTCCTTATCTTGGTTCCCCATAAGGAAGTGCAGGAGGACACGGCCGTTTTCATCCTTTTCCTTGCCTGGAGTATGATAGAGCTGATCAGGTGAGTTGGTGTCAGTATCTCAATTCTAGGGTACTCCCTGGCAGAACACCCTGTTGGGGATCGTCTCTATCCTCTGAAATGTAGTACTGAAGATTCATGATTGTTTACGAAACTTGAAACTTTGGCTATAGGATGTTGATTTGTCGAGATATGACACTCCCCTGACTCGAAATGAATGTCTTTTTGGTCCAATTAATCAGAGGTAATAAGCACCTAGTTGCAAGTCTCCCTTAAATGAGCCTTTTAAGTATTCCCTGAATCTGCCACTCTTCAGAAACTATAGCTTTTCCGGTGTCGTTCTTTCACTTCTCCTGACTTGAGTGGTGAAAGCGAATGCAGTAGAGTCTCAGGTGTAGAGCAGCCCCCATCGGCTTACTTGTTCTTGTTACGGCTGTGATCATGCCTGAGCTAGCCGGCCTCAATGGTGTCACGGCCGGTACCTCTTCATGCGTGACGATTTGCGGCAGCGGATCTGCAGAGCTCCATCCAGTCTCTTCTCCAGCGCCGGAGACCGAATACCAAAGGTCCAAGTACCACTTCCATGTCCCGACGGCCTGAGTCGAGTCAGGTTTTGAGTTGACCCCTCCTCGACGTTTCCAACTAGGTAACGGTTTCAAATCGAGGGCAGCAACACTGAGCTCCTGAGGTTGACGACGAAGAAAGTGTCCAAACCACCTCAGCCGCCCCGTACTCGAAATACCAAGATACCTCATGCACAATATTTCCGACAACTGCATTACGATCCATGATGCAAGTTTAAATGGCACTAAACGAACATGAGATCAGAGAACTACCATCTTCTATGTTATTCAGTGTTGAATGCAGAATGTTGCTCAGAGAAGTATGGATGAATGACGAATACCATGAAGAGCCTCCATCGGCTCCCTATTACGAGCATTGGCGTGTTCTGATGGAACGAACTGCGCAAAATGGGTCCACTAACTTTTTGGTCATCCAAAGCACCGAGCCGAAATTCTGCGCTCAATATTCAAATGATACCCTCGTCGACACTGAAATGGAGTAGTTTACGGTGGAGGAGGAAAAATACGACCACTTAAGCATTCTTTATATCCTTGTCTGCCGCAAAAAATTTGCGAGAAAAGCAACCATGTTCGACGACGGGTGACCGAACAGGCCTGAAGACTCGGGGATAAATTACGCCAACTCCTAAATTGAGGCTCTTTCGGTTTGATCCGTCCACACCTTCAAGTTCGAAAAGCCCAAAATCTCCATGAAGGGTGTGCACCGCATGAGCAGCGATTTGACTGACTCATAGTTCCCCGGCCATTATTCGATTAACAAGCCCAATGCCCTTGCCCTCCATGTTCACTGCCGAAGCTTCGCCTGGATAAAGTGGAAAGTGCGGCGACCACTGTTTGCACTAGCGAAAATGCTAAGCAGTTGCGGAGGAAAAGCGATCGCTGACACAAGATTTTTATTCGCCTGACGTTTTGGGTCATCGTCCCAACCCCTCGTTAGCGACAGCCTGAACTGGGGCAACGGATGCGCAGCCGTTGCAGTAGTTCTAGGATGCAGTTGTTGTATAAGTGTAAATCTGTCGCTCTTAACGGCTCCCACGTTCATCGCAGGTGGTGCGTAATGGCTTTACGCACCATCAGCCGAGTCGTTACTTGCCCCATTTTCATTACTCGCATTGGTAACCGTTGTGATGTTGAATCAGGGAGCCAATGGCGGTCTTCAGAATGGAGTTTCTCTCTGGTACTGTTATTGCGCTTTTTATGCGTAATTTACTAACCGTACTTTTTTAATCCTCTGGGTTATAACATAGTCCTCGTCATACAGAGGATACTCCACCCGGACTTGGTAAGCAGATTATTTACAGCCTCATACTGCCCGACAAACAGAAAATCGCTCCATGCCAAGCTGACACAGCCTGGCATATAGAGCTGAGAGGGTGGGATACGGCAAACTGCTCGACATAAGGGCATGTTAGAGACTTGTGCACTACTTTACAAACGCGCTATTATTATCCAAATATTAATCACTATTTCCTCACACAGATTGGGAGTGCATACTGGGTGCGACTCCCTAAACGCACACACAGGCAGTACTTATAGTATATTATCAACTGGCCTTAGTAGGCATGGTAACTAAAAATTTAGCACTTCAGCATAGGCGCGTACCTATAGCAGTGGTATCTTAGTCCGTACCTAGCAGAAACGTACATAGCTCGATGGATAGAGTTGAGAGTGCGGAAACCAGGGCAAACGCTGCTGTGCTCAGGACCCCAAACATGTACTTATCTGAAATAGCTAAACCCAGGGTCACACTCCTTGTTGAGACCAAGGGGATATGAGCCCTAGCGTTGACTTAATTAGCGTCACCTCTGACAAATGGTGGCGTCAGTGCCAGCACCAGTACTGCTAGACTTCTTGCCGAGATTTAGTGGATATGAGCCCAGTGCTGACTTTAATCAGCGTCACTTCTGACGTACAAAACAGTCAGTACCAGTACCAACAAGTACCATCGCTAAGTTACACCCTAGTAAGTAGTTATAGGAGTTAAGGCTAAGACGATTAACCC